TGGGTGGGTCGTCGGCACGAAAAACACGTGAAAGCTGTGGCAGGACTGGCAGGCAACGAGGTGGGAGCACAACCACCGGGCCAGCCGGTTGACGGCGCCCGGCGCAAGTGGACGACGTGACGTCGTGCCTGAGGCATGAGGCGGTGAGGTGGGGACTTGCAAATTGCCATGCCATTGCCATCGAACTGGTTGGTGTGAAAATGGATTTGGATACTTATCTAATCATAATACATGAATATTACTATTCGCTACTTTATCGTAAATTGTACTCCATCCGTTCCAAATTATAAAACGCTTTGACTTTTTTGGTTCATCTATTTTACCATGTATCTAGACATATTATTATATCTAGATGTATAACAAAATGGATATAAAAAAAAGTCAAAACGACTTATAATTTGGATCGGAGTGGAGAGAGTACATCATTTTATTTTTTTAATATAGATATATAGTATTATATTTATATTTCGGTATACAGTTGAAGCTATGTATTTATGAAAAAACGACTTACAATTTAGAATATATATCTTTTATCAAATACACATTCGGATCTAATAGATATCTTCTGATACTGATACAAATCAGGTAACATAAATTGGATTTGCATTCAAATATTCATTTAACGGTAAACAAGTTATTTAATTAGACATTTGAAAGTTATGTATGATAAACTATATACATATAAACTATAACAAAAATATATTGTTAGTGATAGTAATTATATAAATATAAATCAGTTGTGTGGGGCAAATGCTCTAGCTCCGGCACTGCAAGATCACAAACCTGCCTCTTTCCCATGTAGAATCACATACTACTATAGAAACGAATTTAGCAACGTCTATCTCTAGAAAATTGATTTTTAGACACGCTGGGCTTTCTAGACGTCTCTAGAAATGCTCTTTAAATTTAGAAGTGGATGGCGGGCCAAACCATACAAATGAATATTAGAGACGGTTGACAATTTAGGATGTCTCTAAAAATAGGTACCACATAGCAAAGTTCATAACTTTTACAAATCAAGTTTGACGAAGACAAACTTTATATCAAAGTTATAGTACATGAAGAGATCTACAACTTTAAAGTTGACTACTTTTCCATTTCAAATCGTTTAAGGCCTGAAATTTATGTTTTAAGTTTTCAAATTTTGAAATTTATTTTTAAAAATTTTCATACTGCCTCGGATGGAGAAATCACCTAAACCAAAGTTGTAGTACTTGAAAACATATGAAACTTTGTAGTTAACTACTTTCTTATTTGGAATTCTGTTTTAAGGCCAACGCAGCACTACCCGTTGCAGCGCAGGCCACCGAGGACCGTTGCCAACCTAGCCATTGCAAAGAGGCATCCCAGCCGCAGCTCCTTCGTAGACGACCTTACTCGGTCACCCCCTAGATGTCGAATCACCTCCGAGACGTGCATGCAAGCTAGTCGGCGCATGTCCGCCAACGTAAGGATGACAAGTCGCTGAGCAAACCCCCTTGGCACACCAAAAGAAAATCGTTGTTGGAATCTAGACCTTTGCTTACACCCTCATAGGGTGAGTGTCAAGCTAAGGCACCTAGACCCACATCGTAGAGAGGGGTGGGAGTAAGCGATACAGTTTTGGTGTGAGTGGGAGAACCATCCTAGTTCTTGTCCCTTGGGCTCTATTATAGAGGAGGTGGGAGGAGGCAAACTTCCTCCCTACCCTTTTGATTTACAAATTACATGGAGGTCCATGCCCCCTTATTGATTGGGCCTTGACCCTTTTCACATGGAAGAAGTAGGCCGTAGGCTTAGCCACCCTTATCCCCCAACAATGGCCTTGACACCGAGAGAAAGCCGTCCCATTGCTGCACCACCAACATTTATGTCTCGGGCCGTTGCGGCACCAGTAGCCACCGCACTGCAGCACACCACCAAAACCACACCGCCGAGGTGCCCGGTCGCCATGTTTACATGTCGCCCGCATTCGTGCCCAGCTGTCGTGCCACCTGCAATAACATCGATGCACCTAGGCCACCATGTCTGCATGGCGTCCACAGTGGCATTTGCATGCGCGTCGCACCACCCACGATCGAGCCTACCGCCCTAGCTTCGCACAGCAATGCATACGAGATAGGTTGTGACACCGCCGACCTCGTGGATGGAGGTGGGCTGTGGCTGCGCCAGATGAACATCGTAGGCCGTCAATCACGGCGCCGACACTACCAACCGCGTAGAGTCCATCCCTGGACTGACACCTCTAGCCACACCGCGGCGGGGCGCAGCCACACAACTACCTCCTGTAGATGGCAAGCCCACGCCACCGCTGTCGCCCCCATGCTGTACTGGCAAGATCTAAGGATTTTCGAGAACGCAATAGACAAATCTAATGAGGACGGCCTTGGATCCGGCCAAGTATGACGGAGCCAATCCATCGGTCTACCTCCACGAAGCCTTCGATTCGCTAAAGAAAACACTGTCACCTGCCTTGTAGGCCTTGTCGCCTTCCCGGCAGCCTCGCCGGCCTCCCACGAAAGCGATGATAAAGAGCGCTCTTTGGGGAAGGCTTGCCGTGCCGCAGAATGGGGCCGCCTGAGTTGCCCAGGCGGACGACGTGGTGGTAGCAGAGTTCGTTGAGTTTTTTGCTCTCTTTGCTTTGATATCTATTTATTGTGGCATTAGTTTTTTTTAACATAGACATTTACCTATTTCTATTTATAAATTTGAAATAACAACAATATTTTATTTTTGGGTTAATTTGGTGACCACCCAGCCACTGGATTGAAACATGGGTTTCGTTTTTCTTTTTTTAACGTAATTTGTTTTCTTTATAAAAAGGTTAGGTCAATGTTCATCCCTATAAAAAAAAGAGTTAGTGCGTGTTTGGTTGTAAGCCGCAAGACGACACGTCACAACCGATGGAAGCAACGGAAACTAAAGGTGTTGTTTGGTTTGTTACAAACTTACGGTAGCCACAGTGCATGTAGTTTATTTTTCTGCCGAACCTTAGACGCATGATTTCTCCGCCACAAGGTGCGGCGCCGCCACAGCATGGCGTGGTTGCCAATGGCTGGGAACCAAACAGCGACCATCTGCCAGCACACATTGGTCCCGTTCGCTTCGCTGAAAAAATAAGTCGAAACATTGTTCCGGCTGATTTATTGTGAGAGAAAAATACTGTTCCGACTAAAAAAATAAGCTGAAAAATACATATTATAAGACAATCGAACGTGGCCATTAAGGGCAGTCCGCCACGAGACGTGCCGGCCAATTCCGGGCACACGCTTAACTAGTCGCACGAAAGCACTATGAGCAGCAAACCAGAATTGCTTGAGCATGTGGTTGGCCTCAAAACAAAAAAAGTCAGCATGTGGCGCACATGAAAATTTTAACAGGCCGGTGCGTATCATGTTCGACACCAAAGCCTGTTCGCTTGCTCGTAAACGATCGTAAATTTCCAGGCGGGAACAGTGTTTTTCTCTCACACCAAACCAGCCAGCAGTAAATAATCCACGATACGATACGGTCTCCCGAACAGGCTGCAAGACGTTTCGCAACTGCGCCCGGCTTGATGTACGGTACAGGCTCAGCGCGCCGCACGCCGACGCGAACCGGGCGGTGGTCGTCGATGCACTATTCAGTGCGCCGCGTGCCGTCTCGAACCGGGCGCCGCCGACGCACCCGTCGTAAGGTTCGTTCCTCAACTCGTTCTAGGCCTAGTTTAGATTGTAAATTTTTGCAACCTGGACGTTGTAGCATGTTTCGTTTGTATTTGACAAACTTTGTCCTATCATGGACTAACTAGACTCAAAAGATCCATCTCGTAATTTACAACCAAACTGTGTAATTAGTTATTTTTTTACCTACATTTAATACTCCATGCATGCGTCCAAAAATTAATGTAATGGAGAGAGAGTAAAAAAACTTAGAATTTGAAGATGATCTAAACAAGGCCCTAGACCCGCTGGCACGTCCATGATTGTGTGAGATGATTCCAGCTACAGCTAGCTAGTACGCCTACTAGCCTACTAACCTTCGTTATTACGTACTCCCTCCGGTTCTCTAAAGCAAGTCGTTTTGGACATCGACACGGTCTTTAAGAAATAACTTTGACCGCTACGTTTTCTATAAAATATTTATAAAATATAGTCAATATATACTTTTATGAAACTACATTTCGAGACGAATCTACTTACATCACTTTTATATTTTCAAACTCAACCCAAAAGAAGTTATTTGTAGTCAAAGTTTAAAATATTTGACTTAAGACAACCTCAAAACGACTTGCTTTAGAGAACCGGAGGGAGTATTCGCTTATTCTTCGACTCGATCGAGTGGCCAGCAGGAGATGCATCGCGAAACCCAAATCTAAAATGGTGTCAAGATAATATCTATAGCCTATAACAGAATATTTATATAGGAAACCTATTTTAGGTATTGAAAGATGCATAACCTAAATCTGAGTATCCTCTCTTCTGAAGATCCATTTGCAGAAAGGGTTCTTCTGAAGATCTATTTTAGGTATTGGGTCTTGTTGTTGGAGAAAATAAAAAATAAGTATTGAACTCTTTACCTTTAGCGCTACCCAAGAACGAATGAGTCTTGTATTTTGGGTCGCGGTTGTTGGAGGCGGTCTTAGGAAAATTAAAGCCCTGTTCGTTTGGGCTGGTTTGGCTTATAAGCCATGGCTAAAAGTACTGTTGGCTGATTTGATGTGAGAGAAAAATACTGTTTGTTAACTGATAAACTATAGATTATAAGCCAAATACGACCCAGCGATCAGACTATAAACTGGCATGTCGGGAGGAGCTTGGGGAACAATGTGTGAGATCAGTGCTAAGGACTCTGTGCGACATGGATCTGCAACTGTGTACAATTAAGGAATTCAAGTTTGTTCAAATCTGGCTTTCATTCAGTACGCCCATGTTTACTAGTTTGTCTGTACATCCCACTCTTCCTATAATCCTACTCTACGATTTTTTTTCTTTTCCGAAAAGTACTCTATCAACGAATTAGAAATTGGGCACCAACAGGAATCAGAGCGCGAGCTTGAGGTGGTCAGGGCAGGCGTCGCTGGCGTCCGGTCGCCGATACGGCTCCGCGCGCGCGGCGACCCGGACCTTGCGCTTCTCCATGAACCGCTGCAGCGACGCCGTCCTCGCGACTGGCAGCAGGTCGGCGGCGGCCGCAGAGGCGGAGACCTGCCCGCCGCCGCGCTTGGCACCGGCGGTCGCCTCTGTTCCTGCACCTTCTTGCGCTGCTGCTGCGCCGCCGCCGGCGAGGAGAAGCAGGCCCGCCGCCTTGTCCGCCGGGACGTCGTCGAGCACCAGCACGCGCCCTCCGTACACGATGGTCATCATCTGCGCCGGCGCCGGCGCCGCTTGAGCCAGGTGGTCCAGGCCGTCGTCGGGGCTGCAGGCGTCGGAGACGTCGGCGCCCGGCATCAGCAGGAGGGGGCGCACGGGCACGGCTACCGGCCTCGCGTGCGCGTGCTTCCTCTCGGCTTCGGCCGCCTTCACGTACTGGCTGAGCGCCCCGCACGCCGCCGCGAACCGGCTTGTCGCCGCAGCGGCGCCGCCCGTGCCTACTGGAGTTAAAGCTGCTGCCGCCATCGCCGGTGATGAGCTGCTGCCTGCCGCTGCCTTGGGTTGGGAGTTGGGACCTTGCTTTTCTTCCCGGTTTCGTGAGGAGGAATTCTTTGGTTTGGCTTGGGCTTTTGGGTTGGGAGCTCGATTTTATAGGTGGGACTGGAAGCGAGGAATCGTCGGGGATATCATGAGGACATGGGTGTGAAGCCGCGCGCGCGGCGCGGTGGGTCGTCGGCACGAACAACACGTGAAAGTTGCGGTGGGAGCAGCATAAATAAAACTACCAGCCGGTGGACAGCGGCATGCACAAGTGGTGCAGTGGACGACTTGGCCGACTGGCCGTGGACCCCGTGCTGGGACCGTCGGACATTTGCAGTTGCAGGCAGATTATCACAGAGGTACCTCACAAATCACAATCATCATCACATACGTCGTGCCGCAGCCGCACCGTACAATTCATATACTACTTAATATAAAATTTTGGCCAAAAAAAAAAAAACAAGCCAATATAAGCTAAGGGGTTGTTTGCTTCTCAGGTCTGGTTTAGATTGGGGTTAGGAATCAGTATTTGGTATTGTAGCACTTTCGTTTGTATTTGACAATTATTGTCCAATCATGACCTAACTAGGCTCAAAAGATTCGTCTCATAATTTATAATAAAACTGTGTAATTAGTTATTTTTTTATCTACATTTAATACTCCATACATATGTCCAAAGATTTGATGTGACAAAAAAAAAAGAGTAAAAAAACTTACAAATCTAAACAAGGCCCCAGCCACACCTCGCCACAGCAGCGAGTTAGGCAGCCATGCCCATACAGGGCAGTGTTTGGTTGATTATTAACCTTAGGCTCCCACAGCTTTTAATGCAGTAGTGATTCTCGTCACAAGCGTGGCGCTGGTTTTTCTCACCTCTGCCACAACCCGCCACAATTTGGTGTGGCATATCTTGTCTGGAACCAAGCAGCCCCTAAAAAAGCACGTGGTTTCGAATTTTGATACTATGAAATTTGTCCATTGTACTCCCTCCACTCTCGCTTCTCGAGGTGTTAAATATTCTTTATTTAGACTAAATACATATAAAAAGTATTAATGTTTATAATGCGTAATAAGTATCATTAGATAATATATTTTTATAATAAATGTAATTGGAGAATGTAGACAATATCTTCTATAAACTTAGTCAAACATAATTTTTTTTTGACTCCTCGTGAAGTGAGATCTATATTCTTTTTTGAATAGACGGAGTACCTTGAAATAAGACATCGTCTTTCAAAGCCCCTGGCTCGAGTTTTTTTTTCCATCACAATGAGTCAAAAAGAAAAACAAGTCTAGTTTCCCCCTACCTTTTCCTATAGCTTGGTTCATTTAGGAATATGCTTGGTTAGCACAACTCTAACTCAAAGTTTTATGGTAGATATATATGTAGTTTCAAAGCCAAATTAAAGATGTTTAAGTACATAAATGATTCATATTGATGCATGCCTTGGACCATTGTCGTACCTCTGGCTCAAAGACTTATTAGACTCAGTTTTGAGAAATTCATGAATCTTTTGGAGCTAGAAATTTACTAAACATGGAACTACAAGTTAGTACAAATTTCGAATGCTTGCATACTTGACGTACGTATACCTAGACATACGTTTTGCATTTTCTTTTTCATAAAGGAGTGTTCATTTTTCTTTTGTTGTTCGTGGTAAAGGAGCGTGGCTTTTTTGAATTGAATGATGGAAGGAACGTGTCTTTATATACTCTGTTTGAAATCGATCGGAGGCACTAGCTAACTATATATAGTACGTAGAAGAAGACGAGTAAATTAAAACAGCTGCGTGGAAAAGAGGCCGACTACTCGACTAGCAACACAATCACACAATCCCCACAGAAAAGTTCACCGGTTTGACGGTTTCGTTCCTGATTTTTGTTTGGATTGGAAAAAGACGAAGACGACCCGCAAGCCTGCACGTGCGAAGTTAGGCCGACGGAGGGAGGAATGGAAGGAGGATGCGTGCGTGCTGCTGTCTCACGCGATGTGCCGGCCCGTGGGGCACACGATCGATTGACCTCCGCCAGCCCGACCGCGCACCGCCGCGCTAAAGTAAATTCAACGGTAAACCAGAAGAAGCGGCCGGTACGGTGCATGTGCAGCGGGAAGCTCCGACAGAGTTTCAGGCATGTCACATGTGCGAGGGACGGGACCAGTGGGCACCATTTCATTTCTTCTTTCGTAAGAAATTGTAATTCTCTATTACCCTAAACCTTCTCCTGACTCTTAGTTTTTAGAAAGATGTGAAAAAATCCCTCTCCTACCACCCCTAATACAATCTTCTAGTATTTTAGGAGTTGAGAAAAATCATCCTCATTCGCGTAACTTTACGCGCCGCAGACTCGCGCGTATCCTCCGTGGCGCAAAGGTCGCGACATTTTCTTCCTTCCCGCGCCCTTCCTTTGCCGCGGTTTCCGCCCTCGCGCAATTGTTCTTCGTTGAGCGCAGAGGATCTTCACCGTCGCCGATCAAGGAAGAGGTAAAAACTCCATCTATCTACTTCTCTGTTCTGGTATTTTGCCGTTCGTTGGTCTTATCCACGCCGCCGCCTCCGGGATTGGCCGCGTGCTGTGTCTCTGTGCGATGCCCAGGCCGCGTGCTGTGTCTCTGTGCCACGCCCTGGCCGCCTGCCTCTCTGCCTGTGTTCTGTGAATTTGGTTTCTTCGTCTGCAGCTAGCTTGTCTTGGTGGCCGGTAGGCAGCAGTTTTTTTTTTCATTGGGCCACGTTTAGTTTGGTGTCCGATTCGGCGCCGCCAAATTCAGGGAGGTACTGTAGCTACAGTACTTTTTCGTTTTTATTTGGTAATACTTGTTCGAACATTGACTAATTAGGATCAAAACGTTCGTCTCGTAAAGTACAACCAAACTGTGCAATTAGTTTTTGATTTCGTCAACATTTAGTACTCCATGCATGTACCGCAAGTTTGATGTGACAGGGAATCTTCTTTTTACATAGTACCAAAATTGGGAATTTGATGGAACTAAACAGGGACTCCTTGCCTGCATGGTACCGTGGTCTGCTGATGGTACTGAACTGCTACTGGCGGGCTGCTTGCGTATGTCTGCAGCTGATGGTTCCTGTATACTGTCTGCTGCTGCTCTGCTGATGGCTAGCTGCTGCTCCTACTAGATGGCCGGCTGGGAGCTAGCGAGGTGCGGCGGCGGCAGAGAGGTCGCGGCGTGAGAAAGGGTTTGGCGTGCCCCTGTGCACTTCCGCGACAAAAAAAAAAAGGTTATTTATTAGAAACTTTTGGAGAGGTTTTTTTTTTCTCCAAATATGTTTTTAGAAGTCACAAAACTACAAGCTTTTAAAAGAAAAAAATAGAAAACTCTCGGACATGCTCTTAGAAATCTCGGAGATGCTCTTAGAAACTAGTAGAGTTTTTCCTCTGTACAATCGACTCTTCTTACACTTACATACAGTACGCTACGAACACCTAGAGTAGTAGTAGTAATAACAGGCTGTATCAGAGCGTGAGAGCTAGATGGTCCGGGAACGACGACGCCACCGCGGCGGCGGCGGCATCCGCCGGACGGCTGTATGGCGAACCGCGCTTGGCGACCCGGCCCTTGCGCTTCTCCATGAACTGCCGCAGCGACGCATTCCTCGCCATGGGCAGCAGGTCATCATTTCGCAGCACCCGTGGCGCGGCGCTTTGTTGCGCGGCGGCCGCGAGCCGGAGCAGCGCGGCGGCCTTGTCCGCAGGGACGTCGTCGAGCACCACCACCCGGGCGCCGTACGAGATGGTCAGCTGCTCGCGCTCGGCGCCTGATCCGCCGCCTCGGGGCTGGGGCTCCTCCTCTTGCGTGGTGGATAGGTCCGCGCCGGGCATCAGAGGGAGTACCGCTACTACCGTGCCCGCCGCCGCTGGCCGCGGCTGCTCCACCGTCGTCGTCGTCGTCGCCACCGCTGATGCCGCTTTCACGTACCGGCTCAGCACGTCGCACGCCGCCGCGAACCGGGCGCCGTGGCCCTGGACGCTCCCCGCCGTTGCCATTATCTTGGGTTTCTTTGCTTCGCGCTGTGTAATTAGGCGAGCTTTTGCTGCTTCTTTGATCCTGTCGCGCTGGGCCTGGGAATTGGGACGGAGGAGTTGTATGTGACGGATGGTTTCGGCGGATGGACTCGGGAGGAGATTTTTATTTATATTATATAGACGGGTGGGGGAAGTGGGAACGACGGTCGACGGAATCGCGCGGTGCGTGCCGTGTGAAACCGTGGTTTTGGGTCCTCACCTGTTTCTGCCACGACCAACACGTGATGGTTTGGGAGGCTGATTGCTGCGCTGCCTGATTAGTGATTGGATTGGGTTGGGTTGGGTTGGCGCGCCGCGATGTTTAGGAAATCGGACGTGCTGGTTCTGGTTGGTTGCTGGGCTCCGCTCTGTGTCTTGATGGTTTTATGCGTGGCTCCGCTCTGTGGATAGGTATTGTACTATGATGATATTTTCTTTGCTATATATATATATAATTTTTTTATGATGTTTCTCATCACTTTGAGCACATCCTCGGCCCACTGGAAAAGAGAGAAGCTTGACACGGTGGTTCCGCGAGAACACCTCTAACGCCTACTTTGGCAGCAGGGAACCCCTCCGGGATCCTGGCGTTTTCCCGGGGCGAGAAGCCCGCGCGGAAACTGGCCACGGGCCAGATTACGGAGCTGTTTGGAAGCCTACGCGGAGGGGGAGGGCAGCCCAACCCACGCGTTTTCCCCGGGGCGCCGCCCCACGTCTCAAGACATCGGGCACCGTTCCCCGTCCGCTCGCGGGTCTCTCTATCTATCTTTCGACGTGAGGAGGCGAGGACCGAGGAGGCGCTGTGCCGCCGCCGCCCGTCATCCCTTCGACGCGAGGAGGCACTGCGCCGCCACCGTCCGCCACATGTCTCCGTTGCGCCATCCCTTCGACAACCTCTCGCGTCCGGCGACTCCTCGTGGCAGGGATTCCACAGGCCACCACCGCCTTGCTTCACCTCCGCCACCCTTCCCCGCTGATCCTCTGCGTTTCCAGCGCCGTCGCCTCGGATAGCGGCACCAGCAGCTCTGCTTCCGCCTCCGCAGGTGAGTTCTCCTCCAAATGCATCTCCTTCCTCGTTTTTTGATCCGCTAGGGTTTCATCCGCAACTTTGCATATCTGTGCTCCTTTTTGATGAAGCAATGGTACTGCTCCTGTTGTAAATGGAGGAAGCAGAGATTGGAAAGCCCATACTAGCTAGTTGTTCAGGACTCATAGTAGGAGAAAGCAGAGATCGAGTAAGCCCCGTAGCTAGAAAATGCCTGCGGTGCCTGAAAATTCAGGTCAATGGTCTGTTGTGTCTGTTTGCCAGCACATACTGAAGATTTAGCTACTTAAGGTTCAATCTTTGTTCAATGTTTGGTGTTTGCTATCTGTTGCAATGCATTCAGCTCATTTCTTTAGTAGTAGACTCTTATATAAATATTACAGGCACTTATGGTGTTGAATGCGGCAATAATTGGATATGTTGTATTAGCAATTGAAAATTGGAAACGTCAGCGCTTGGCATAATCTCTGCTTAATTTTCGCAAAGTAGCTAGGCACTAATTAGGGAAAGGGTAGTAATGGTGATTGCTGTTCCATCTTACTAGCGCTAGTAGGTAGAGATGCACTATTGTCAAAAGGAGGCAAATTGGTCTTTGTGTGATTCTATTGGTACTTCTGCAGTTCTGCGTCATCAACATCGCCTCTGGTTTGTAGGGAAAATTGTCAATTTCCTGAGCAATAGTTACCTCATCCTCAGGGTCAGGTTAGCTTCAGTCCTTTGCTTGGATGTTTGCTTCCTCTATTGGTGCTTTAGGAAACCTGCTTGTTGGCTTTGCTCAGCTATTTTTCTCCCAAAATCGTGTTCCCCCCCCCAATCCTTCTTGTGCTCCAGTTCTTCACAAGTGTGGCTATAGCTAAGAGCTCCCTCAAACTCCAAATGGCAGCTACCAATATCAGCAACCACTAGCATTCGTAAGCAAGTCAAATAGATGTAATGCATCCTTTCTGTACCTGAATATTTTGATCAATAAAATAGGGAACAAATATGTACATGCATGCGTGCTACACTGCTACCATTCGTTCATGTATGTACTTATTTGATTGATTGATAGCTTCTGGTCGACTCACTCAGAAACACTTTTTGGGTTCAGCTTATTGATTGTGTGAACTTAGAGGTTGAAGTGATCCTAAATAACGTGATATTAGTCGCAATGGATTGAGTATAGGGGAATGACCTTTTTAAGGCAGCCAAGTTTGCTGAAGTATAAATTATGTGAACATGTCTGCTGGGGTTATTGATGTAACTGGATGTAGGGAGAAGGAAAATGCAGCAACAATGTCTATGTGAGAAGCTTGTGAAAGTAAGTTTAAAGTCAGTTTATTGTAGTGCCAAAATTATTGGTTCCAATTTATTTTTTGTTATCAGTCCATTATGTCTGTAATGACTGTATTTGATATGACGATAAATGGATTAGCTTGGTTGGGCGTTAGGTTTGATATGATGATGAATGGAGCTATTTTCATAGAAAACTTTGTAGTTTTCACAAACTTAAATGCAGCTATTTTCTCATCGTAGTTTTCTAAAGAATGAGCCTTTAGCACTTACCAAGGCTAATACTCAGTTTTACGTTACTTGTATGAACAGATGTGAAGTGGGCTTAATCTGCTAAATCCTTACAAATCCGTGTGATGTTCATATAGGTTGTTTATGTCTGCACTTGACACTTTTGGATAGTCCTACACTTTCCTTTTGAAAGTTGAAAACTGATAATGCTAGCTCAACTTTATCTGATCGTTGAAGTTCAGATTGGGGGGGTAGGAAGGTTAACTTGGAGGTCACACATTTCTTTAAGTATCCGCCCTCTGCGTTGTCACTTCCATCCTCTGATCCTTAGACGAGTAGCAGACCAGCTGGTACATAAGCGTCGTTTGACGTATGAAGTTTGCACCTTTATCCTTCTAACTTCATATGCATGTGTTCAAGAGTTGCTATTTGAATATCTGATGACTCATTTTGTAGTCATCATAGGATGGCTTGCTGCTTCAATTTAGTGTATTATATTTACCTAAAAATATAGCAAGAAGATGGAGGTCTGTCCAAACTGCTGTATTCTGCCATTTAGTAGTTCGTATTTACCCCTGCATGAATCTGGATTGCACTGGACTAAGTATTGGCTACTTGCTGAACTTTCAGATCTCAAGACTGGATACGGTTTTGTGGCACTTGTATGGATACAGTAAAAGGAATGCATCTATCCAAGATTATGTGCTCCAGTGAAGTAGTAGTTTGTTCAGATCCAAACTTGCCAATAAGTCTCATGCCCCAATTTTATTTTTCATTACTTCACTGGGTATATATGTGGATAGACATGATCATGTGAAATCCATAGTTTAGCTTTGTTGGAAGATGGTCTCGAATAGTTTCTATATGAATATATTACTTGTATTAATTAGACTTAAATTTAGTTTTAAAATATTTATGTATTTGTACAGAAAGATTTATTCCTGATATTTTTCATGATTTTGTGGATTTTTTTTTGATTTTTTGAGACATACGGTACTTGATTGCTTCAATTGTGTGGTCAGTTTTACCAAACGAATCCTTGGAGTATTATATATTAAAATAAAACAGCAGCAGGGAAATTTCCCCAGCAATCTGCCAAACAGCTGCAGTGAAATTCTCCCATGAGTGCATATCCACCCTGGGTGGAGGTGGGAACGGAAGATAAAAAAAAATCCATGTCCGGGGTTATATTCCATGGGCTAAATTGCCCTTGTTGCCAAAGTACTCCTAAAAGAGATGAGTCGTTTTTTCTATTTCAATGTAAATCAATTCCTATAAATCATCCTGCAAGTCAAACTATGACTAATTTTATAGGAATGAATAGTAATATCTATGACACCAAATAAGGGCACTATGAAAATATACATGTTATTGCATATCTATTTATGCTAGCTAATTTATTGTCATAAATATTAGTACTCTACAGATCGAACTGAAATAACTTAGAAAGTTCATTTAATTTGGAATAGTGGGAGTGCCTTATCTAGCTCCTGGCCGGTGAAGCAAGTTGTTGGAGAGAGTGAATAAATAAATTAATTTAAAAGATACTAATAATTCTAGAGTAACGTGAACAAAGCTAAACTTAATGGCAGTAAGTTGGACCTTTCCTATTTACAAAATGGCACCAAAATACCTAAAATAAATAAGAAATTTAACCCAAATTTAAAACATCTTTCTAGAAGATGGTGTGACAATAATAAGGTTCAAAAGAAGGCATCTAGTGTGTCTAGCGATTTCTTTCGTGGATGACGCCCAATCTCCGTATTGCCATGAACTGCCAATTAATAAACTCTCGATTTTCTGATTCACGCCCTTGTTCTTGAGACATGGCATTTTTTTTTTGGTCTCCCTTACCTTGTATATAAAAACTGAACTGAACTGAACCACACACAAACTTCCACCATATTCTATTGAAATGTTAGCTATATTCCAGACTAGCTCCGACATTCTTTAAGTTTAACATGTTATAAACATGATGAAATACGAACTTTTGCTTGCGTGTCGTCATCGAAAGAACTGTTAACAAAGAACACACAGCGTATATTTATGGACTTGCTAGTAGTGTGTCAAAGTCAATGGCAAGTGTGACATTTCTACTTTGGCCAATAACAATCGTTCAAAAGAAAGGGTAACTTGCATTCATCATATATAATTATAATTTCCTACAGGCTACAGAGCTAAGCTGAACTTTCCTATATATACACTACACGCCAATACGACGTCGTCGACGCGGAAAGTGAAGTCCAGTACGCGGCGGCGACGGCGAGATGGCGACGCCGACGCAGGCATCAGCACGCGCACCCTCCTGGAGCACCAAGGCCAAGCCAGGAGGACCCCGCGTCTTGTTCGCCCGCCTGCAGGTTCCGTCGTTCCTCGTTGGACGACGCCGGGGCCGGGCGGGCGGCGGCGTAGGGCGCGCGCGCGACGAGCCTGTCCCGCCTCTTCTCCATGAACCGCTGCAGCGACGCCTTCCTCGCCACTGGGATGTCGGTGGTCGTCGTCCCTCCGGCTCCGGGAAGGTCTGGCCGTGGCCGCTCGGCGACGAGCACCAGCTCGGCCACCCTGTACGAGGGGAAGTCGTCGAACACCAATGCGCGGTCGCCGTACATGATCGTCAGCTGCGCCAGTTGCGTCGCCTCGGCCTCGGGCTCCTCCTCCCTGACGTTCGGCGTGACGTCGGCGCCCGGCATCAGCAGCATCGTCGTAGGCGGCGCCGTGGTAGGAGCCGCTGCCGCTGCCGGCGCCGCCGCCATCGTCGTCTTGCCAGCGGTTGCGGCCTCCGCCTTCTTGACGCACCGGCTGAGCACGCCGCACGCCACGTCGAACTGCCGCCGGCCGCTGAAACCCACAGGCGGTGCCATCTCGATCGTGACCCCAAGAAGAACAACACCGAATAAGAATTGCGACTGAGACTGTGTGTGCGCACGTTGGTATTGCCTTCCGATTCCATTCGGCTGAACGCCTCGACAGTTATATAGGCAAATTGGCGGAGACCTCGATCGTGTGGCGATCCCTGCGGGTGGCGTGGGGTGGTTCCGCTCGATCCGCACGACGCCACGACGAGAACGTGGCGACATGAAAGGTGGAGGCGGAGGCTGCCGCGTATTTTAGTCGGCCACACGACTCACACATGTATGACGGGACGTGCTATGAGGCTTTTTTTTTATCTGTCTAGTCAAAACTCGCGTGATTTGAAGCCACCCATCACCCAAGTGACAGGTGGCTTGAAAACACTCGAATGGACAAAACAAAAAGAATCTAGTGTTTTGAAGCCAGCCATCACCCGAATTTCAAAACCACAGGATCTACATCTAAGGGACTAGATTATAAACAAATTAACAGATAATATTTTTTAAATGCAAATTAAATAAATACAAATGCAAAACCATAGAAAAAATACACATTGCATGGAAAAAAATTGCAGATAATTTCTATGAAAGGCAAATTGGAAGAAATTCAAATAAATCAAATCAAACATACAAAAAAAGAAGATTGCAGATAATTTGTATGAAAGGCAAATTGGAAGAAGTTCAAATAAATCAAATCAAACATACAAAAAATTATTGCAGATAATTTCTATGAAAGACAAATTGGAAGAAATTCAAAATAAATCAAACCAAACATACAAAAAAGAAGATTGCAGATAATTTCTATGAAAGGCAAATTGAAAGAAATTCAAATAAAACAAATCAAACATACATATAGAAAAAAGCCAAAAAAAAAGGTCAAATAATTGTTCGAGTAATTTTGGCCGTGCGCACAGCGCGTTTTTGGCGGTTTCGGTTCGTTTCCGCGCGCGGGTGCGCCTCCGCTGTCGCCTATAGTTAGCTTTCCTTGCTTTCGGCGCGGGTATCACAACTCCAGCAAGCTGGTACGGGCACGTCTGGACCTCTCTCTGTTACGCGCACAGACACACCTTAAATGCGAGGGTTGGCTAACACTCAAACCAGAGACCAGCGCAAATTGTTATCATGAATTGTGTATCTATAGTTGATGGAACTTGTCTATCGGGTTTCTAAGTCTCCAATCTATCACTGGTTTTTGTATTTTAAATTATTTATGATAAGTAGGTTCTTGTATTTTTTAACCTTGAGGGCTTACACTTGGTAGACGTGTTAGGGTACCTTTCTTATACTCATCGCATATGTTAAGATTTTAGGAGATTATTAGTTAAGATTTATTTTTCAGTCGGCACCATTAGAGCAAGTACATTGGTGATAAGGGATTGTCTGACCTTTCTTTTGGAACCAAGGGTGCAAATGTCTTTTTACGTTTGAAATAGCAACACCTAAAAAATCTAGTGCACATCTAGAGAGAACTTGTGTACATTTTTATAAGTGGTTTTTGCCCTTAGTTTTGAAGTTGACTAAATTCACCCCTCATCTTCCACGGCATGGTCCCCTTCAGTCGAATGTAAAGGTTATTACGCGGAATGCATGTCACATAAGTACTTCAGAAACTCTACAAGACATGTTGGCTTTTATACGCGATTTTTTCATGACAACTGTGCTAATTGTCATCGGAACATTTTGTTTATAATGGTTTCCAACAGTTAGTTCACCTTAATGACAAAAATATATCGTGTGTCATTGATGCCAACCCAAAAATCATCATATCATATTTGTGATGATTATTATGACAATTCTTGTCAATCATAATTGTCATCCAAAATACTTCGATGTCATGACACAATAGCATCTTCTATAAAAAAAGTGTCTCCATAATTTATATTTTGATATGTAGTTTTCATATTTTCTAAATTTATCATCTTGTTTGATGCATCCATCTCACATCTCAATTTTTTTTGTGATAGAAGACATAAATAAATCAATGTATTTTTTCTCAAGTATTTAATTTTTTTATCAATATTTGGTTAAATAGTTGTAATAGCCCAAATAAAAACAAGCTTAAGAGAACTATTGTTATACGACAACCACATTTTTCCCTTTCCTTTTTTTCCATTGTTTTGCCCCTCATGTTGATGCATGCAATAATCCTTGGTCATGTGATAAAAGTTGCAAGAAAAAATATTTAAATCATTTGTCAAATATTTTGGGCACCAAACTATTTGATAAAATTCCCATAATGTCTTAATCAAGTTTGAACTAAGTTCAGCTTATTTTGGATTTGCAAAGTTCTAAAAACTGAAAAAAGAACTTATATCCCTATCTTGGCCTAGACTGGTTTCCTTTCGTGGCCCATCTTTTTCCCTCTCCGGGTTGCCTAACCCACTCCTTGTCTTTTTATTTCTTCATAGGCTGGCAACTCCTCCCCTCTAGCCTGCCAATGGCTAAAGTCAGCCCACCAGTCCTTTCCGATCGATCTTCCTCCAGACTGTCCTCCTCTTGCATCGGAGTATACAATTTTTCCGCCACCTAGTCGCTCGGCCTCTCGGGAAACTTCTCCTCTTGTTCCCTGCTACAGGTCAGAAGGGCGGCAGAGCGTTGATCTCTCTCCCGACGTCGATCTCACCGGCTCCTCCTCGCATCCGGTGACCGTTCTAGTGCCGGAGGTGGGGAGGAGCAGCGGGATCGATGGCCGGTGTACATACCTTAAGCCTTGTTAGCTAGTTTAGGGTTAGGGTTCTTCGCTTCGTCGATGGTGGCGCAAAGATTAGTAGGTCCAGGTGGTGCTTGCAGGGTGGAGGTGGCATTGCGTCCATGGAATAAGCTTCTTCGGATCCTTGTCCTCCTCGCTGGTGCGTGCTCCGGTGCCAACGAAGAGCTGCAGAGGTGTGAGTTCGCTGCATCCAGAGACCTGGCTGCTCCAGATCTCGTCAGGTTCTCTTCTTGTCCCTCCCTCGTCTCCATTGGCGTTTGCACCGGTGATGCTGGCTTCTCCGGCGGGAGCCTTGGGAGGTATGTCTACCAACGTGCCGAGAAATCAGGTTGGATTTTGTTTTCCACCTGTTCTGGTGGTTTAGTTCCCCTTCGGGTTGTGTCGTCGTCTGGTGAGCCGGGGTTGCTGGCGGTTCTTGAGGCGCCAGATTCCTTGTCTCCTGGTGATGCAATGGCCGGTGGCCATCTTCTTCAGCCAGGGCATTCAGTGATTATAGAGCATGTCAATGTGTTCGGTGTGCTGCTCTTGGTGGCAACGAAAAAATGTTTCTTCGTCGGGATGGAGGTCGGCTTCAAGTTGCAAATACAGTGTGTCCTCTCGATCCTTTGGTGCGATGGGAGTGCGTCGTGTGGCTGCTCCGACCGCTGGCGGCGAACACGATCAGGAGAATCTTGCAAGGACTAAGCTGTATCTTTTCTTTCCTTCAAGGATGTCTTTGTAAGAACTGAAATGTAAACATTCGGATTTATATGTAAAATATAAACCTGTTTTTTTAAAGACTGTCCTCTTCGTACATACTCCCTCTGTCCCACAAATAAAAGTACATCTAGCTCTTGGACGCGCAGATTAAGAAAGTTGGCAAATTATGCTGATGCCCCTATAAAGGCCTCTGACAACTCACATGAGTGTTTCAGACAGCACAATTTAAAATGGCCAAACTGGTGGCAAAAGCAGAGAAGCGTCAGATAATAAAGAATTATTTAGTGGAACCAGCTGGCCGCCACGAAGAGCACAGAATGTTCTAGTAACCCAAATCTGGCGCCATTGTGCCCATATTACAAAATTTGAATTGGCGCCATTGTGCCCACATTACAAAATTTGAACTGGCGCCATTGCACCACTATAAAAAGCCTCCACCTGTTCCAGATGAACCCAACGAAAGGCTCAACGTGCACCAAATACCCCCCCAAACTCCAACAACCTGCAATCCAATCTATAGTTAGACATGGACATAGATCTCAACATAGTACCAAATGAAGGAGATGGAGAGTTGGCCATAGATCTCAACACAGTGCCAGAAGAAGGAGACGGAGAGTTGGCAATAGATCTAAACATAGTTCTTGTTGAAGAAGATGAAGAAGCCTTACCTGACCTAAATGCAGAACCTGCACATGTGGAAGGCGTTGAAACCCATCATCCTCAGGATCAAGATCAAGTCCATCTCCTCCAAGAGGATGAAGTACATCGACACCATGAAGATCAGGTCCACTATCTGTAGATCAGGAGTTCGACTTGCCATTATAAAAATTAGAGGGGATTTGGTTATCTAGATTGGTACAAACACCAATTTTATTAGCTATGATAATTAATTACTACAACCAACATTTTGTACACAAAAGCAGCAGTTCATAACACATTCACATATAAGGAACAGTTCGTCACTACACCTAATTATCTGAACCCTACATACAACAGTTCGTCATCCCACAGCCAAAGAACCCACATCAAAAGCATCCCAGCAGACATCAAAAGCACTCCATCACACATAAAATAGTAATAAATGTACTAACGATGGAACAAACGGAAGCATATAGGCACCAGAATCTTGTACATGCTCACGAAGACGTCATGGTAGATTGGATCCATGTTGGCAAGCACCTCCTTCAGTTGTTCAGGCACTTCGGTGGGCACCTTCATCCTCGAATCCTCGTCGACGGGCAGATCCTTGTGAGCATCCTGATCCGCGGTCACATCAGGGGCCATCTCCACACCGGCAGCCCCGACTGTGGCCTCGTCATGGACCTGGGGGGTCAGGTCCATGGCGAGCTTCGTGCCCGCAGAGACATGTAGGCCACACGCCTGATCCTCCATGCTGGATTCTTCATCTTCCGAGTCGGGGACGTACACATTGCCGTGGCAGTTGATATGCAGGCCAGCCTTCTTGAGTCGATGCCCGCGCACGTAGATCCAGCCCTCCCCGGCCGAATCGGCGCTACTTGGCTTGTCGACCTTGGAGTCGACGCTGCCTGCCTTGACTACTTGGCCGAGGCTCCCACCACTGTTACGCCCGCGGACCCCGCGGCCACCGGCCTTTAGTACACTCTCGCCATGGGGCTCCATTACAGCGCCCCCGGCAGCGCGCATCTTGCCACCTCGAGGCATCCGGCGGCTACGACGACGGATCCCGCTCCCTCTCGCCATGCACGCATAGGGGAACTGCTCTGGTTAGGAAGCAGAAGAATCGGACTCTGCTGCTGTACGGGATGTGAGTTGGGTGGGGAAGGGAAGAGGAGCGAGTGGATGGTTCGGCGGAGATGATGCACGGCAGGACCGGTCACGGGCGCTTCTGGATGCAGGTGGCTCCGTTGATTTTTTTCCCTTTTTTTATGAGATCTTTTTTTATTACTTTCTTGGTCCCACACACGAACAGGGACAACAGGACGGGTCACGGGCGCTTCTGGGAGGCTCCGTCGATTTTTTTTCTCGGACCCACATGAACTGACGATGTGCTCTGTCACATTGGTAACACAGTAGCCTATAGGGCCTATATTGACACATATTATGAGAAAATTTTTGAATCCTAAATATATTTTTATTTGTGGGACGGAGGGAGCACGTGAAAGACCGTCACCGCAGCATCTCCTCACTCTCTTGCGCTATCATGGTCCCACCATGCAGCAGATCGAGAACGTGTGGCCAAAGCATGTCCGGATCCTCTGCACCTAGAGCTCGTACCCTCTCTCTCCCTCTCTTCCCTTAGACGTTGACTAGCATCAAGGGACTTCGTTTGTAGTGGCGGAGGGTGAAGAAAATTGAAGGGGGTTAATTTTTTTAAAGTCAACTACAGTTGATACAAAAATGAAATTTCAAATGGATTTTCGTCACCCCCTTCTTTTCCCCAACAGTCGAACAGAGAGTTTCAAGACGCACCATTACTACATAATCATGAATGTAGTCAATTTGATTGCTAATCTAGCATAATCATATCAAATTATTTGCAACAACTATGAAAAAAATTGGGATCCAAGAAACACAACCTGTAGCAGGCTAGCAGCAAGAGGCGGAGGCGCGGAGATCTGCAAGACGACGACGGGCACCACGACGACGTGCCGCAACCATCGAATCGGTGAGTGTATTACTCGGCTGTTGGCCGCCTGGGCGTAGCATTCGGAGATGTGAGCGCTGAATCAGTTCCATCGGGCGGCGACGGCGGTCGGCCACCTTGTTGCTGGCTCGCTGTCCACGTGACCACGCCCCACCAAGCCTTTTTTTTTATTGGTACAACTTTGGACGCACAACTCACACACTCCACACTTACACCATACACGCACATACGCGTGCGAGTCCGTAAACACACTGCTACAGATTTACTTATCACTATCGCCACTTTCACTGCCGTAGCGATAGAAACAACTGTGTTATGCTTCCACCACCGGTTGGACCGATAGCGAGGTCTCCTGAGGAATGAAACTGACAGTTGAAATTTCTACCACCGACGGTTTAACAATAGATGCGGCAGTGGTATTTTCTCAGTCGTATGAAAAGCCGAGCCGACTGGGATACGTGTTATGACCGTCGGCCCTCCATGACTGTTTGGTCTTTCGGCGGTGAAGTCAGCGTGAGTTATTTTCCAACTAGCCACAACACAGTTACATCACCATTACTTGCACTTCTCCATCTTCAAGGTTAGCCTACTTAACCATGGTCTGGATGCACCTCTTGGGCTCAATCTACACACTCTTGAATCCACACACTCGTGAGCTACTGTATCTTTCCTTATCGCCAAGAAGTGCTTTGTCTTCGTCCTTGCACCTCTCACGGCCTTCGTCCTCCTGGCCGTGAGAGGTGTAAGATGGAGATAAAGCACCTCACAGGGTGTTTGGAGAAGACTTTTAAGATTGGGTGCTTTAGATTCCATAACCTTGCTGCCTATGAGGATCGAGATGCAGATTTGTATTCCTCGATCCTTAGAGGTAGCAAGACTACGGAATATAAAGCACCTCACTGAGATGTTGGCGCAAGTTTTGCGAGGTGCTCCTTCTCCATCCTTTGCGAGGTGCTGCCGTTGAACATGAGCTTGACCTTGATGATTGCAGATCTTCTTGCAAATCTTGTGTTAACAGAAGATCTGCAATCATTTGGTTCTCTCCTGTTCAAGGGCTCCATACTTGATTGGGGTGCTTTAAGTTTGCGAGGTACTCGTTCTTCCAGATTGAGTGCTTATATTCTATCTTGTAGCTCTCACGGTCAAGAAGCAGATCACATCCCTTGACCGTGAGGGTTGCAGAATGGAAGGTAGAGCACCTCATTGAGAGTGAAGTTTTGCGATGTGCTACGTCGTTTCTTAGATTTCATAATCTTTATACCTCAGAGGATCTGTTGCTTTGTTTGTGCAAACCGTCGTATGGTATGGATCTGTTATCACATAGACCTCAATGAAAAATACGTAAAGAAGTACTACCGAAGTATTTAATTTGGGTTGATGCTTGATAGCCGAGTCTCATTGGCTCAAAATAGCTGACACCTAGAGTATCGCCTTTAGAACAAAAAATAACAATAAAAGACATAGGATGAAAAGTGACATTTAAACAGTAGATTGTTTACTTATAGCTTATAAGACCCTAGATATAATCTATGGTCCTAAGAAAACATTGTTTACAACATCTTGTGCATGGATGGTCATTGCGATAGCCTCGGCAGCATCAGTGAAGTCTCTAATCAGGTCCTCTTGATCTTCCAGCCGATCAGTGTTCGAAAAACCAGGTTCCAGGTGACGGAGCTTGTGCCCTGAACGCAGTTGCGCTGCAGTAAGAGCGGCACCGGCACCATAGCGGACACCATGAGTTGTCACTTCTCTGGCACAAACCGAGATATCCTGCAGGCGATCTTCAAGAGAAACACCCCTGGCATTGACTGCTGCAACTACGCCAAGTGCTGCATATTGGAGAGTTTCATGGCGATTCTCCAGGTCGATCTCCCGATGACGAGCCTCCTCGATCTCGTGACGAGAAGCAGCCAACTGTTCCTCAAGATCTAATGAAAATAAAGGGTTACCAGATAAAGTTGCGAATATAAAAGTAAAGACTCTTCAAGGAAATTTTACCTGCTGCCCTAGCATGAGCTTCATCAGCCCTCATCTGAGCAACATTGGTCTCTTCTTCAGATGCAGAGAGGGCTATTTTAACGGCATCGAGACATTGCTCGAGCTGACCTACCTCAAGCGTGGCATTAGAATACAAGTTTTCGGCCTCCCTCCTTTCACGGATAAGATTCTGGATATCCCAACCCGACTTGGAGGATGAAGATGAAGATACCATGGACCTAGCAAGATGTACAATCCATTGTTGTCCAACCTCTGCCAGAGTTGGCCGATGTACCGCAGCATGAGAGGTAGCCCTGTATATTCAAAGGATTAATGCAAGGCAGCCGTAGAGATAAGAAATTATTCTCTCTCACCCTTGGCGACGAAGAGGGACACGAAGGCGCGGAGGTGGATCCACGGCTTCTGGAGTTTCCTCCTTTGGACGCTTGCCGTGAGCCATTGTTCGGAAGAAGTCTGGAAGGAGAAAAATGAAGAAGAAAGTCATAGCACAACAAATGAACACAAGTGTATTCCTTCTACTCCGCCTTGCCTTCAAATTTATAGCCCTAGGGGACCTCTATAGTGGGTTCATCGAGTTACACGTGAGATTGGGGGGCATGTGTTCACACCAAAATTTGTTACTCCCTCCGTCCCAAAAAGAATGCAATTCTCGCTTCCCGAGGAGTCAAGGGATTCCAACTTTGACCAAAATTACACAGAAAATACTAACATTTATAGGCCTTGTTCGCTTGTCTTATAATCCATACTTTTTAGCTTATTTTTTCAGCCGGAATAGTGTTTTCTCTCTCACAACAAATCAACCAGAATAGTGTTTCGGCTTGTTTTTTCAGCGAAGCGAACGGGGCCATAATCTAAAACAAATATCAACAGATTCATGATAGAATATATTTTCATAATATGTCTTTTTTGGGATGGAGGTAGTAAGATGCACAGGAAGCCCATAAGTTAGGGAAGCGTGCGTGAGTGTTGAATGTCATTCAAACTTCCAACACCGTCCCCAGCATTTGTTACGCTGGAAACCGTCGTATACCTCGTCTTCCCTGATGCGTGCTCCCTAGATCACACATCTTAACTGCACTGAGTCTGGGTGCATCTTCAAGGTGAGTGTTGAATATCCTAACTTTCAACAACGTCCCCACCACTTGTTATGCCGGAAACCGTCGTATACCTCATCTTCCCTGATGCGTGCTCCCTAAATCACGCATCTTAAACTGCATTGAGTCTAGGAGCATCTTCAAGGTTAGCCTATTTAAGCTGGGTCTGGGTGCACTTAGTCTCTCGCCCTTCCCCTCCCCTCCCCTCCCGCTATTCGCCGTTAGATGCTAACATCTTCTTGCTGTAACCTACAAAAATAATGTTCATAATATTTTGTTCCTTTCTAATGTTCAATTTCTGTATGACACGCCAGTCATGAGGTGCTACGTACCATTTTTTAAGACCTAATCACCACCGCCGATAGCCTTCACCGTCGATATCATTAAAATTTGCAAGCCAGCGCGAGACTCCCGCGCATTTTTAGAATTTTTGGCGTGTTTGTAGTTAGTTTACAAAGACCGCTACCCACCCAACCGCCACCCAGTCCGTCTCCTCCTCAAGTACTGCTATTCCTCACCTATTCATCGGCGTGCAAGCTGCCACTCACCACCGACAAGCTAGTGCTCCGCGCCGGTACGCCTCATCGGCACGCCCGTATAGATCCACCGGTGACCAGGCTGGTACTCATCACCACTGTGGCCGCTCGAGCTCACTGCCGTAAGATCCAAAGGCAAGGGTAATGCTTTTTCGCACTTCCCTTATCCATATTTCTTGGCTTTTTATTCACCTCTTATCTCATCTGAGTACAAATCAAGCTTCCATCTGATCATTAAGGAGCTCATGAGCACATCCCCGTAGGTGCTCCTACTCTAATTTAGGCGATAGCACTACCGCTTCCATCGCTGGGCCCACTCCACCACATCCTAGTCAAGATGGAGGAGGAGGCCACCAACAAGAGGAACGAAGTAGACATCCTCATAGATGATGTCTTGGTCCTTATCCCCCGTCGCCTCACCGTCCGCACCTTGTGCAGCAGTAAGTGTGTGTGTCGCTCCTGGTACCGCCTCATCTCCGAATCCGAGCACCATAAGGAGCTGCCCTAGTTTATTGCTGGATTCATGTATGGCAACTGGAAAGGCAAATGCCGATTCGCCAGCTTCACCGGTGAATACCCCTCCTTTTCCTTCTTGCCATTCCCTATTTTGGATTTAGTCATCTCAGATTGCTGCAGAGGCCTCTTCCTCTGTTGGTGCGTTGGGCTTCGCTATGTTGTCTACAATCCGGTGACTAGAAAATTAGTGGTACTACCGCATAACAACCTTTGTTGTGGTTCAACTTGCTTGGGGTTCGATCCCACAATCTCCTCGCACTTCCATGTGGTAGAACTGTGGGTAAGGTCGTCTGGGGTGTTAGTTGTCAGCATCTACTCATCCAAAACCGAAGCATGGATGTGTAAAGAATCTAAATGGGAAGAGGATATTCTAGTATACAAATTTTCAGGAACTATGTTTCTTAATGGTTTTATGCACATGTTGGAGGTGTTCAATATAGTTGCTATTGATATGGAGGGAAAGACATGGAGAAAAATTATTAGGCCACCAGGTTCTGCAATGTCTATCCATGGAGATCAGGGTCAGTTGTGTCTATGTATTGCTAATATTTTCAATACGTCTAACCTTTCAATCTGGATCTTTGAAGACTATGGTACTAGTGAATGGACATTGAAAAATACGGTGAACACACTGCAGCTATTTTAACTGAACAATATTAGACTCGGTTCTGAGGCTACCAATGCGGACTACAGAGTGATTGCAGTTCATTTAGAATGGAATTTGATTTTCCTTGTTGGGGAGGACAGAACATTGATGGCATATGACATGAGCCGCAGAAAAGTTCATGTCCTCCCTGACCGGGTCTTCCGCTATCCTAAAAGTACCTGGAGTATTTATTTGAATGGACCTCACTATCTGCCTTATGTTCCCTTGTTCATGGAGTCATTAGCAGAGCAGTAAAGGTATATATGCTGTATTTTGTTGTTAGGACATATCTTTGTTCAGGTAGAGAGTTGTTTTGAGTCGATATATAGTCTAATTTTGGCTTGGTAACTAAACCAATGGTATATTAAATATTATTAATTGTGCTGCTTTGCGTTGTGCAGGTTCTGAAGTCTCTATGCTTTTAAACGATTTTCCTACAATGGCTATGGGAGGAAGAAGAGGGGTTTCATGCTGCATTGGTTGCCAAGCTGATCAAGGAGTGCCAATCTGAAGGAGCGGAGCATATCTACCTCATTTTAGTTACGTAAGTCTGTAGAGAGTAGAACTTTTATTATGCTATCTATGTACCGCTTGTGTTGATTCATCAGTTGACACAATTGTTATGTTAGTATCGAGCATTGTTATTATAGCAAATACTCTTTGTTGTGGACATGATGAATGATGCGTAATGATTATATTTGTATGGTGTGTGTTCAGTAAGTTATTAAGGCCTAGCTGAATTAGTAAATACAATGTAAAAACCTGATACAATTCTGTCATTGTCAGATATAAGGGCCGTTGGTTGTTTTGTCATCACCGCCGTACCACTCGTCTTTGGTGAAGCAGACGGCCATCACAACCGCTATTCATCTAATGCGGCAGGGGTCAATAGTGCATCACCGCCGAACGTTTAGTAATCTGACACCGACTAAAGGATCATCACGGGTGAATCGTACTGCAATGCGACGGTGACCATGCCCTATGACCAGATGGTTCATACGCTAAAGCGACGGTGATGTTCGCCTCGACATAGACGGGTCACGCTCCAATGTGACGGAATAAGGATCTAATCGTGGACGGATCATAAGCCATGAGGCGGTGTTAGTGTATACCCACACGCGTGTCGTGTTCCAATGCGACGGAAGTAAGGACCTTATCATGGATGGATGATAAGCCAATACGGCGGTGTATTGTACACTACAAATGGTTTCAGATAGGAACGGTGAGGACTATAAGTATCACTGTCGATAGCTTACTATCGAGGCCAAAATTGGAATGCGATGTGGGTTACAACGTGGCTGTGAAAGGTGTGAGTGTAGTAGTGACACGCAAAGAAGAGATTGGGAAACACGCGCAGTACTACCGAACGCGTACGCGTGCGTGTACCCTAAAATTTCTAGAAAAGTTTTAAAAAAGGTGCGATCACTAGGGTTTGAACCCTGATGGGTAGCGTCTCACTGGACAGCCCAACCACTAGACTACAGCCCATTCGCCCCACCAAGCCTTTTGCGTGTGTGAGTGTTGGCTGATGGGTGGCTTTTTTTTAGGGGATCCTGATGGGTGGCTTGTTTGCCTGTTTTAGAGTTCTACTAGGATGGAGTCATAGATAAGTACCGGGCCTTGTGAATTTCTAATAAGCCAAGGGGGGCTGGAGCCTAGTTTCGCTTCTACTAGGCTCCGCCCCTGTCATTTGTATCAAAGAAGGTATGAGATTTTGACAAATTATACAAGATTAAGTTTCTTAATTCATCTCCATATTATCATCAAGCTAGTGGTCAAGCTGAGTCGAGCAATAAAACTTTGATCAAGTTTATAAAAAAAAAAATTAAGGACAATCTTAGAAGGTGGCATGAAGTTTTATCTCAAGCTCTATGGACTCATCGTATATCTAGACATGGTGCTACTAAAGTGACTCCTTTCGAGCTGGTATATGGACAAGAAGTATGTTGTTCGTTGAAGTGAATTTGGACTCATATAGATTGACAAAAAAATGATCTATCTGTTGCTATGTATCATGATATAATGGTGGACAACATTGACCAGGTGACTAACAAAAAGGATGCAAGCTTGAAGGATATTAAGAGGGACAAAGCGTGAATTGCCCTGGAATATAACAATAAAGTGAAGAAACAAGTCCTTCTATGTTGGAAATTTAGTGTAGAAAACTATTCTAGCGCTTGGGATGAGGAGCAATGTTGGGGGATAACTCGCCCTTTAGGCATCCCCTTTTTACCCTCCGCCTTTTCTCCCCTCATTCCGAGTCTAGTTTTCGTCGTTTGAAAGAGTTTGGCCGAAAGGATCGACGCATGACGAAGAGGCGAAGGGCCTGTCAGCATTACCAGGTTCATTTGCCCCTTTTCACCCTGTGATTACAATGATTGTTTTTTGATTTGTTATATGCAGATTTCGTGTTTATAGGTTCTCTCCTAGTTTTCGGCGAGGGAGAAAACCCAAGGGATGGCAAAGGGGTGCAAAACGGGAAAAGGCAGGCGGGATCGAATGCTCTGAGCTAAGTCAGGCGAAAGAGGAGCCAAAGACAGGGTGGTCCCTAGCATCCTTCAGGCTAGAGCCTAGGCTAGCTCTATATATATTGGAGGATCACGACTGACTAAATAATCCAACAACCAATCGATCGAAAACACATTTATTTACCCCCTTTCTCCTTACCCTAGCTTTTGCAAGCCCTGCTGTTCGGCGCGTCTCTCACAAGATTTGACAGAGTTTCAGGTGGCCTTGCCGACACTAGGATAACCTCGACGTGCTCCTCCCTGATGGGTCTTCGCGGGAGGTGTTCTCAAGCTTTTTGGGCGAAGAACGTGTATCAAATCGGGTCTACCGACCTAGTGGTGGGTCTTGCTAATCTCGGACGTCCTCGGTGTGTGATAGGCCGTGTGCGGTCTCGGACGTGCTAGCTCTTGCAGGTGTGTGACCCAAATCGTCATCAACCGTTTCTACCTAAGCTTAATATAATAACATTTGTGTTTTGTGTATACGTCAACGAATCGGCAAATTGTACAATACAATCGGTAAAGACAACACGCGACGTCGTTCACTGAGAAAGGAGAAAAAACGGCCAGTTCACGGCAGTGACGTCGAGACGACAACGGAAGCTGCATGAGCGGTTGTTTTTGCTCCGTTCATTTGGGCTGGTTTAGCTTATAAGCCATACTTTTTCAGTCACCAAATCAGTCAACAGTACTTTTAGTCATAACTTATCAACTAAATAAGCCCAAACAAACAAGACGTTTATCCTGGGATACCCAGCCTAAGCCATTTGTCAGCGTCTTTTTCCCACTGCTCCTTGGGCACCGCCGCCGTCGCCGTCGGCGCGCGGGCAGGGGCGTACGGCGCGAGCGCGCGAAGCCTGTCCCGCCTCTTCTCCATAACCCGCTGCAGCGTCGCCTTCCTCGCCACCTGTAGGTCGGCCAGTCCACCGGGCATGTCTTGCCGAGCAGCGACGCGCATCACCTCCGCCGCCCTGTCCGCGCGGACGTCGTCGAACACCAGCACGCGCCCGCCGTACACGATGGTTAGCTTTGCTGACGCTGGCGCCGGCGCCGGTGTCGGCGTTGGCACGGTCTCGTCGCTGACAACGTCGGCGCCCGGCATAAGAAGCATCGGGGACGCTGATGCAGCCTGCGGCTGTACCGCGGGACGAGAATGGGCTGCCGCGGTCTCGGCCCTGACGCACTGGCTCAGCACGCTGCACGCCACCGCGAACCGTCGCCGGCTGCTGCTGCAACCCGCTTCTGCCATTGGAGATGGAGCCATCTCGCTGCACATTTATGTAAATTTCCGGAGTTGGTACGAATTTCTGTATGCACATTTGTGTTTGTTGATTTCCCTTCCGGGACGGCGGCGTCTTTAATAGGCTGCCAGGGCAGGACAAACTGGCAAAGCAAGCAGCGTCCTCGTGGAGAGCGGAGGATTTAGGATGATTCGGCGATCGGCACGGGGGAAAAGGGTGGCCAAAAACCCAAAACGGTTGATGAGCTGTAGCAGTTGCCGAGTTGGGGCTGTGTGGTGTGGTGTGGTGACTGCCGAGCCCAGGCGTGCCGACGTGCCGTCAGTTTTTTAGATATATATATATTTTCTTTTGTTTCCCACGAGCGGCTTGAGCTGGGGAGCGGTGACCGCGCGTGTAGGCATTCCGCTGGGGGTGTGGGGGGTGGGAGGAGAAAATAAACGCGTTTTGGCCGCGTGCGCGGAGCCTTTCGGCCGGTTCTGCACGTTCGCGCGGTGCTTTACAGGCGGCTGCCCGCCTTCCGCGCAGCGATGATATACTTGCGCACGCTGGCACGATACCTTGGGATCTGTTCGTGCGTGCAACACGAGAGTTTAATGGGAAAACCGTGTATCTCTATATTTAGGGTGCATCTAGGAATCCAGATTCTTTTCCAATAAACATTTCAGATCTAAATTCTTCATAGAGATGTTTCCCTACTAAAACAATAAGAATTAGTGAAACCTTGGCTACCGGTTCAGATTCTCGCTGAAATGAACTAGAATAACCCAGAAACATCTATTTGGTCATTCTCATTCTAGTAAAAGCCTGTTCACTTTTGCCTCGAGGAATACACTACGCTCGACTACTGACTGCACATGCATGTGATAACTCTGAATTTACGCACATGTGCTCTTGAGCTTTAAAAGGCCAAAAGTGTCTAAGCATAAGACATAACGGAATATTGCTTTGTTTTGTGAAAAGCAAAACATAAATAACTCCGAGAAACACTCAGCCCACAAGGTTGTTCGCTTGCAGGTTCTTACCTAGCTATCATAAACAAAGAACATTTGCTAAGAAAGGAGGACATAAATATATACCCAAATACATAAACAAAACTTGTTATTTTGAATTTAAATGATCGAATTTAGGTTTGCCTTATGAACTACAAAGCCATCAGATACCTCAATAATCAAATATTTATTAAATATCTTGAGAGCTCAGGCTCTGTATAAATCAAGTTGATGTCTTTTGTCTTCAATTTTGAATTGACAAAGGATGACCAATCCCATGTCAAAGGGAAAAATACAAAGAATGCAGTTACTGTTGATGCTCAAAATCAACACAGGAGTTGCTGATGACTTGATTGCCTCACTTTCGTAGAAGCGCACGACTAGTTTTTGAGCAAACTAGTAAAATGATAAATTCTTCGATTATGGCGAAGAATAGAATCAGCTGTTTTACAAGCAAGAACAACAAAGGATGCTTCGATGACACCGGAGCTCGCGGCTTGTTTACGGGAAACAAGCAAAGCATGACTACCGACCTAGATGCGAAAAGTAGAAGAAAGTAAAAGAACTTGATAATAATAGATTGGTTTTGTGTCAATTATGTATTCTCAATGGGCAATCACCCTTTATATTTACTAGCAAACATGCCCGTGCGTTGCAATGGGAGAAAAAAGTTATCAAAATGTTTGACCTATTCGCTTCATCTTGTTGCACAACTACAGCGGTCGCGCAAATTAATTTGTATAGGTGCTACTTTTGATGTTGTGACCGTTTGCTGCAGCAATCATAAACAAACGAACTCGTCAATGGAAACAAGGATCACAATGTTACATATCTATTTATATTTTATTTTTCTATAAAATTAAAAGCTATATTTATTTATTTATGATGATCATGGTATCTATAATATAAATTAAAATTTGTAACAATATGGTAATGTCCTATGAATTCTGTATGAATTAAAATACAACCTTGATAGATTTTTTCTTTCATTGTAAGGCACAAAATTTTTACTCACAAATAAATCATAACTTTAGTTTTCATACTATCCATGTGTTGAGTTAGATATCAAGTTCCGTGACTTCTTTTTAGCAGACATAAAAATATGTAATTTAATATATTGTTAAAGTCGGCAAGGTGTGTCGTCGTGTCTCGATTTCCACATGTCACCCCTTGTTGAAAATTGCACTGGTATATGCGGATAGCATAGAGATTTGCAATGGTACGTGTGGACTACTTGGAGAAACATTTGTTTGATTAAATTAGGCGACAAACTCAAGATTTAGTTTAAGATATATGATTTGTTTGACCATCACCTAATTCATGTCACAATGATAATTATTCCTAATTAAATCCAACAACTCAGTTATAGAAATATTTATTTATTAAGTAAGGGTCAAAAGTTTAAAGACTTGTAATACTGTATTTATTATTTATATATATTTTTAATTTTATAAGAAAAAGTTACCTCATCGTGAAATTAGAAACAAAAAATAAAAACACAAAAGGGCAGCACCCAAAGAAAAGTCACGGACGTCACCAGGAGGACAGGATACACTTTTCGTGAGACCTCATGTACGGAACCCAGCTTACGAGCGAAGAAAAAAAAGAGAAGGCAGCGGGAGAAGGAACATAGGCATGGTTCGTGTGTCCTTAAATTCGGGTTGATCTGTTTATTTTTTTATTTGGAATAGTGTTTTTCTCTCTTAAATTCCTCCAGCATTCCTTCAAACTATTCAGATTCCTCCAAAATTCAGACAAGCGAACAGACCCAGAGACAGAAACGGAAAAGAAAAGAAAAGATACGGACACAACATGGATTAATAGGTTGGAGGAAAAGTGAGAGATGGCAGAAATTTTACCACTTCAGTATTAGATATAGATAGGACGGCTGCACTTTCCGTACAAGAATCTATCTCGGATGAGACCCAACAAATAAAAATCTCTAATTCTGATGTGGGCCACGGTAGAGTCCGTTCCTTCTTAAGAACCCGTTTGGCATGGCGGCAGCTCCAGCTCCCGCCTGCAATTTCACTGTTCATTCGCTGTAGCTAGAGCCGGTTTTCTCTCTCCCTCTCACGGCCGGTCACAGCCAGCGGCTTCACCGGTGAAGCTCAAAATTTTGGCTCCGCCGGCTCCATGAACAGTACCCCCCGAGCTACAGTAGAGAGAAGAAAGCATGAGAGAGAAAATCAGCTTCGAGCTACAGTATTCTACAGTGATCTGTCGGGTGGAGCCGGAGCTGCCTGGAGCCGTGCCAAACGGGCTCTAAATGAGATGTGGCAGCTTCTCAACCATATTTAAGAGGTGATTAGACCTGACGTACTTCGATTATGAAGCATGTCCAACCACGGAATGCATTCACATGACTCTTCTATAGTTATCTTGTTTTCTTTTCCTTCACGCACGCATTCACCTGGAGATATGTTTCCGTACGTACACTCCGTGCCTCTCTGTTCTTGGCAAACAATAAAAGTCCGAAGCCACCCAAAGCTACATGTATGCACCAGATGCATGTATCTCCTTACAACTAAAAAGAAGAAAGCGTGGATAATTTTTGGTGCGATATTTGTTTTGGGTCTGCCTATTTACCCCCTGCGAGCGCGACTTCCCTCCAGCCACCGCGACTTCCCCCGTGCGATCCTACTCCGTGCCGCCCCTCCCTCTCCTTCCCTCTCACGATTGATCTGATCCCTCGCGTCGTCGTTCGCCTCCATCGCGCACCGTCCGCCTCTTCCCCTCGCGCCGTCCGCCACCTCAACCACACGCCCTCCGCTTCACCCCCGTGCCGCCCCTCCCTCTCCCTCTCCCTCTCTCTCTCTCTCTCTCTTCTCTCTCTCTCTCCTTCCCTCTCACACCCGGATCTTGCTCAACACTCGCGGAGGCGCGCTGTGATGGGCCTCATAGCGGACCTCCATGGCGGAGCACAGCAGCAGGGGGACACCGTCGCTGCACCCCGCGAGGAACTCGGGACCCCACGCCCGTTGTTGCTGCTCGATAAGAGAAACGGGGGTCGTCACGTGCCCTAGGGCTGCCTCCCTGCTCCAATTTGGTACACCGGTAGTTCGATTTTGTTTTTCTAAATGCCTTCGTTTGTGTTGTATGTACTGTTCGACTTGCTTCATAGGTCACCACGAAGTAGGCCGTTGCGCAGCTTCGTGGTGCTCAATTAATGTGCGTGCCAGTTGATATGGTGTTCAATCCGCAAACGCCCACCACACCAAGGTCATCTGCATTACAACAAGTACGCCAGGTTTGTGCTTTCTGGGATTCAATTTATATGTGTTGGCTGTTTAGTTATTTTGTACCAACTAATTCTAGGTTGCCTACAAAATGGATCTGCAGCCGGTGATGCGGAATATTTGTCGAGGCTATGGAGAAATGTGGCACAGATAGCTGCAGCATTGGAGATCATGGTGGGTTTGCTCCAAATATTTACAGGCAAGTGAGAAACTAATTTACTATTTTGTGATCACACATTTGAAACTAATTTCCCAGAGAGTTAATTTTAATATGCCATATCTATGTTGCTGTATTACTGATGTTCAGCATGTCTGAAGGCCTGGATCTTGTTAGTGCGGCAAACGAGAGGGCTGGATATAATAGAAGAATAAAATTTGCAATTGATGTTGCTGCTAATGATTTTTGTGTGCATTACCTATGCAGGGACTATGTAAATGTTCAGAAATTAACTCTCTGAATATGTAGCAGTGACATCTCAACTTTCTTAAAAAAATCTTTTTTTAGAAAGGGGAATATATTAATAATATCCTAGCTTCTGCATCGACCAATGCATATAGCTGTTCCTTATTACATTTTTGCATGTACTGAATCTCATTGATGTGTTTGGTGGTAGGGTTTCTATTTAAAGGATGAAGTTGTTATTCGAACTGGCATTGATAAACCTTGAGCTAGCTTTCTTGAAAAATGGGGATTTAGGCCAATGCAATCTCCCTTTTTCATAAGAACGAAACTATGGTAAAATTATCCAGTTCTCCCAATACTTGTGTAAGCCTAACAAATTTCCACCTATTGTT